TCTCAGATGAGAGGGGTTTGACCTCAGAGCTGAAGCCAGAGAAGAACAGCTGATCTCTGACAGTCTGCAGTACTCCAACCTGAAGAAAGAATAAAACTTAACTGTAAATCAATCTGAGTCCATGTGTGAAAATAAAGGACTTTGACTAAACATCACTGTCGCTGATTTCAGACCTGAAGTCTGAGTCAAGTTGTTCTGGACATTTTCTGGAACTTGTCCTGTCAGTCTCAGAGTAAAGTTTCTGAGTGAGTCCATGTGAGAATAGAGCAGGTGAATGTCCCGAGGATTCACAGAGAGCGAGTGAACGTGTTGACGGACACAAACACATGATGGACGTGAGACTGGAAGAACACAAATCTCTCAGGATGAAGAAGAGGAGCCGTACACGTAGAAGACATCAGTTTGGAAAGACGAGGAGATTCCAGATGTTTTGGTGATGAGGGCCGACGCCGGTGTGGACGAGCTGAAAACAACAACACTGATCTTTCCACGGCTGAGTTTAGACATAATGTCCCGCCTCCTGCTGCTCTACTCATTCTTCATATGTGAAAGACAAACTCCAGAAAATGTCCAGACACTATTTTACAGAGTTCAAGACTGAAAACAGATTGAAAGTCCTCGTGTCCTCGAGGTTCAGTTGTTTGTAATATGTCACTTCACCACTAGATGTCTCTAAATATCTTGCTGGACATCTTCAGGAGTCGTACATGTGAACGTGGACAAGTGGACGACGTTCACATGTACGACACCTGGAGACGTCACTAAATCCTTCACAGTGAACCTGTAACTCAACATAGGAGGCAGCCATGTTTTTTACTGTAGCTCAGACCAGACAAACTAAAGCTTTTGAGTTTCTATGACGACGGAAGATACAACAGGTTCTCTTTCATGTATGGGGGTGGGGTGGTGTGGGGGGGTATTCCGCTGCAATATGACACTTCACCACTAGATGTCACTATATTCTACACACTGAACCTTTAACATTAAAACATGAGGTCTGACCTCAGAGTCTCCAGTGGACAGGTTGGACTCTGTAGAARACCACACAGCTCCTTCACTCCTGAGTCCTGCAGCTCGTTGTTACTCAGATCCAGTTCTCTCAGATGAGAGGGGTTTGACCTCAGAGCTGAAGCCAGAGAAGAACAGCTGATCTCTGACAG